ACAGCAAAGTTTAGGGGGGAAATGAATAAAAATTATACTAATCCATCATTCAAGAGACTAAGGTTAGGATTCAGGTTTGGGGCTAACTTCAAGATTTGAGTTTCACAACTTCACAGACCTATTATGGTTAATCTAAGGCTTAATAAGAGCAGGACCACTATCTCATTTAAGTCAACACTGATTCCCTATGATGTTTTTCCCGCAAAATTTGAAAGTCTCACAAGTTTTGACTTTATTTGTGTGCATGTATATATGTGTATATGGACATGTGGGGATGAAAGGACAGCTTATCAAAGTTGGTTCTCTCCTTCCACAATGTGGGTCCTGGGGACTGCACTCAAGATCATCAGCTTGGTGGCAGGTGCTCTTATCTGCTGAGCCACCTTGCTGGCTATAACTGGGTATTCTAAAACTTGAGTTCAGTGCCCAGTGAACTTGGATGGAGTATCATCACATTTGTAAAATACACAGCATGCTCCTTCTGAAGAATGGAGCTAGCACTCTTTCTATGGTTAAGGATGCCCTGGCTAACAGTATTCCTTGTGACATAGTTGGCTATGAGTCTGCTTAATATAAAAATATACACATTCATAAAGCAACCATGTTAAAAATTTAACCACTGTTGCTTACACTGCCTTTTAGATCTCCTGAGGAATAAACTAAGATTCTTAGGAAATTATCTTTGCCTGAAGGGAAGCATGGAAAATAAGCCCTTCACAGAAATAGAAAGCTAAAAATCTTGCATTAAAAACAAGGTCTTCATTAAGGCTAGAACTTTCTTGTAAAGCTGGGCAGAGGAGGGATCTAGTTCTTTAGGGAGCACAGATTTTTTTTTTCCTTCTCCAGAAAGCTCACAAAGACCTATTACCTTCAGCATACCTACAGTGAGACACAAAGAGGTTTTCTGATCCACTCCAATAGAGCTGGCAAGTGTCCCTCATGATTTAAGAATAGAAAAAAATTAAACCTTTTGAAAATCCTAGGGTGGCAGCAAAATAGAACTAAGATACCCTGCTAACATATTCAGACACTTAGCAAAATCACTCTATCTCAGCCCCAGTCGATGATTTGGTGAGAATACAGAACAAATTTGGACTTTTTGAATATATACATACATAGAAGTCAGACCAAACCCCTCAATGGCCAGCCATTTTACAATATAACTCAGAATACAGCAACATCTCCTGACATGACAGATACTTCATGTTTTCTCTCCATATTTGGAAACTCTTATTTCAAGGTTAACAGAACTACTAGAAAAAAGAATGACCTCCAGAGGCCATCAGAAAACCAAAAGCTACAGTATTACCTCAGAACAAAACCAGCAGTTGAACAGTGAAAGGGAAGGCTATAACTGCTTCTCAAAGGTAGTTTTCCTCCATAGTATTTATGGGAGAATTGTAGGTCAAACTCCAGATAGCACCAGCCTCCATCTGGGACCTGTGTTCTCATACTTGTAGACCTCTCTGCCCATCAAGTTCTAAGGAGACAGAGAAGGCACAGGACAATAGCGCTGTCTCCAAGATACCACCATGTTCCATTTGGATTTCATTTGGCTTTGTGTGTGTGTGTGTGTGTGTGTGTGTGTGTGTGTGTGTGTGTGTGTGTGTGTGTGTACTGTCACCAAGGCCCTCAACAACGACTCTGCTGGAGGACAGACACCTGCAGATGAACATATAATAAACCAGGAACTACATGACTCGTCCACTCAAGGTTATAAGTCAGGCACTTTATCACGTGCCCAGCCTCCCCACTTACTGTCCAGTAAGTTTCCAGGGTACTACTTCCTTGAGTTACAGATGAGAGAGGCCAGAGTGATGTCTTAGAGCACAGATGACACAAGCAACATAGGCCTATAACTGAAACAATTCAGAAGGTGAAAGCCAAAAGGATTAAGAGTTCAAAACAACCAGTATTATGTAAGTTTGAGGCCAGTCAGGGTCACAGAAAGACCCTATCTCAAAACAAACAAATTAAAATTAATAGTCAAACAAAGTACTAAATAAAAAGAGTCAGAATTCTGGCATTGTCAAGCTACCACTCCAGTCCTACCTCTGCTACTTACCAGTTAGCTGCCTGGGTTCTTTACCTCCTATGCAAACTGGGAGCCCAGTTAAAGTGATGAATGAGGTGATGGACACAAACCATTCACATTTTTTCATTTGGAAAATACCTGTGCCAGGCACAGTGTAAGACTTACAGCAGTGATCAAGAAATAGTTCTGGTCTCACAAGGCTGAGAACTTAGTCAAACTACAAAAAAATAGGTAAGCAGATAAATAAATGCTTATAAAAGGTGCTAAAAAATTAAGATTACTACAAATGATTGAAAACAATCACAGATAGGGCCAGATGTTAAGAGAGGCCTCTGAGGAGAAAATTCTGTTGAGCCCTAAGGGGTCCACAGGAACTATCTATGTGAAGAATGGAAGAACAAACATTTCTGTCATAAAAACAAGATGTACAAGGGTCACAGCGTGAGGAAGGCACAGGAACACGGAAGACAAATGTGATTGCAATATATCCTCTCATAGGGTTTTGGAGAACAACCATTACAAGCTGCTACCACTGAGGATTACCGCATCTATTTTTAAAATGACAAAGATGAGCCTAGAGAAAGGTGCTGTGTCTTGTCCAAGGTCATAGCTACTCAGAACAGGACCTAAGGCTGGAACCCCTCGGCATTCTACTTCCAGACATAGCACAAGCCCGGGGCTTTGACTTAGTTCACTAATGGCAGCTTTCTGTGCTGTGAGGAGTCCCAAAGCACCTTGAAAACACAAGTAATAACACCATATCAGTTTGCAGGCATCCTGTCCATCAAGCACTGAAGGCCCTGCTGTTGGAACCTTACCACACAAGAGCAAAAGCTGCTCAGACCTGACTCAAAGGCTCCAAAGTGGAAACGGCTTCTCTTCTTGCAGCCATGAACAACAGAAAAGGACACCCCAGAAAATTCCATGGCCTGTTCCAAGAGACAGTACCAATGATGCAAATGAGCACTCACCTCAAGTGAACAGCACAGGAAGAGCTAATTACTCTATTTGTACAAAAGAAAGAATACCTTAAACAGTGGCTCTCCATCTGGCTGGTCGGTACAGCCACCCCAGCAAAAGGCATCCGGGGATTCATGGAAGCAGTTTGAGGTGAACTGCAGGATGCCCTGGGCATTCAATAGGCTCAAAGTCTTGTAAAAGGACAGAATGGTCCTATATACTAAAATAAATACTAAAAATAAATAGCCTATGTTATTAAGAGCCAGACACACATACTTTAGAGACACTGAAAAGATTAATACCTCCAAATTTTCTTGTATTCCCATTGTTCAATGGTGTTCCCTAATCTCAGGCCTGAATAGGGGTGTGCGTGGGGGTGGGGGAGAACTCTAAGACTTCACAACTGAAGTGTGAAATTTTGGAATTCAGTTGTAAGCTCATAACTTTATCAGGGAACCTGGCAGTGGAACAAGGATAAAGAAGTTTCTAGTAAGAGCAGACTTCAGGAATCTTACCCAAAAGGTAACTTCTCTTCTCTATATAAGCCTTAATAAAATGAACTGTTTTGCTACACTCAAAATTCTGTAATTTTAGAGAACCAACTTACACTGTTTTCAGTTTTAATGACAGTTTATTTACAAAAGTAATCACAACAGTCTCACAAATACAGTCGACTCCTTCTGGATTCAACTATTTAAGGAAGATTATTAATTCCAAGATGCCTAAAGCAGAACAAATGCCTAAAAGATACCGCAGGCAGACATGCCTTATATCTGATTTCCAACAGTTTAGTTAAAGCAAGAGGCTCTAAACTAGCCACTATCCTATAGAAAGAAAGAGACCTAACAATCCTACCTTGTTTTGAAATAGCTACAAAAGTAATCCCACAGGTAAATCTTCCATAATATACCCTAAGGATATGAGAAAGCTTTCTCCTACACAGTGCCTAAAATTTCCCACTCACCCAAAGGAGTCTGAATACGTAACTTCTTCACTTCAACTGCTAATTAGCAAAGAGTAGTCCCACATCCCTTTTGACCAATTTTCCAGAAGCCTGCCCTGCCTTCTCAGGACAGCCAAGCAGCCAGACCTGTTTTCTTCTAGGAGAGTCGGCCAGGCCTTTTTTGCCCTACCAGCCAGAGCCTGGGAAATCCCCCTCCAGCCTTTTCCTGGCCTGTCACCAGAAGTGCACAGAATGAATTCATCCAGATTCCTTTAACCTTCCTCTTCCCCAGTCATGTGCCAACTGCTGGGTAATAATACCCCCACCTTGCCGGTGCTTTGTTTTAGAAAAAAGAAAAAGATGCAGATTCACGGGAAGATCGAGCACTTAGCATGGAGCAGGATAAAAAAGATGGAGGGACGAGAGTCACTGAGCCAAGTCTACTGAATGCAGCACGAGAGACCAGACCCCTGGTCCTGCAAATCCAAGGAGGGAGGCTTTCCATCTAACAGACCACACCTGTCTAAGCCAGCCTCCTGCTCCATTTTAATCAATTTGTACAGCTACTCAGCTGGGTGGAAAAACCAGCCACCTCCCTTTCCTAGGAAGGGTAGGAACCCTAGTCTAAGAACCACTTGCCCCTTGTTTTATTTCTCACTCTTTGTTCAGGAGACACTAGCTCCCTAGCCAGACAGGTAGGCACACCATGCTGCAGAGGCAGAAATGAAGAATCCAAACTGTAAGCCATACAAGAAGACCTCTTTTCTGAGGATCATGATGCTAATAAAGGGGACTTCAACGGGCAGGTTTCACTCTGCCGTCCACAAGTGAACACATGTCTGCAGTCCTAAAACGCCCGGCTCCGCAGCCTGTAGACAGCTTTTTCCCTGGGCAGTAGTTACCCCACTTGATCTTATTCATCCTCTGGCACAGAAGGAACCACCAGGGAAAGGCAGGAGTTAGCTTCATACCCATAGCTTAGCACACTAAGAGGTTTGGGGAGCCCCAGCGCGCCCTCCCTTGCACTCCACCCTTCAAGGCCTCCGTCGCCCGCGGACTCACCACTGTGCGAGCTGAACCACCTGGGTGCGATGTGCAGAGGTAGAGCATCCGCCAGTGAGGCTCGGGAGCCCAGGTACAGCATCCCGTCTCTATGGTGACCGCCGCCTGTCTCCTGGTAACCATTGCCGTGAGCATAGGTGGAGTCCGACGTGGACCCTCCGCCGCCAGGCGCCCTCTCTGAGTCGCCGGTCCCGCGGGAGGCGGTGGTGTAGAGACCAAAAGGTACCCCTCCGGCCGTGCTGGGGTCCATGCCCATGCCCGCCACCGAGCTAACCGAGCGGCTGCGCAGCCCCATAGCCCCGCCGCCCGTCCGGTAGTGCCCAAAGTGGGGCGCTCCTCCCGGCGGGGGCACGGCGCTGTCATCGGTAGAGACCCCCGGGAAGGGGCCCCGAGAGCGGGCTGCCGTGCTCTGCTTGCCCCCCATGCTCGCCCGGGCCCCGGTGGGGCGGGAACCTGGAGGCCGAAACCCTCCCCCACTACTCAGAAGCGGGTGGAGGGCTGGGCGAACATAAAGGGGGGGTTCAAAAGAGCCCTGAGGGGAGAAAATGAAAGAGAGAGAGAAAAAAACCCTCAGAAAATCCGCGGGCCGGAAAAAGCGAGCGAGCGGGGACCCCAAACTAAGAATTTCAAACAGTCCAAGCCGAATGCATGTTCTCCTTAAGGTCCGAAGACGCGCGGTCCAGAGCCGGCGCCGCGCGCCACAGGCCGCCCCCGGGCTCGAGAGCCTGAGGAGCCGCAGCGAAGGGAGGGAGGCGCCGGAGGAGGCCGCCCGCTCGCAGCAGGAAGCGGCGGAAGCTCGGGGCGCCGCGCGCGTCCCCGGTCTCAGGACTCGACGACCGGGGCCGACGGCCCGGACTTCTCCAGGCCTCGGGAGGGTTCGCGGCGGTGGGGAAGCCAGGCGGAGCTCTGGAAGCCGCGGTCGCGTGGCGTCGCGCTCCGGCTCCAGCCGCCGCCGGCCCCGCCAGCCAGCCGCACCGCCCCGTTCGGTCCCGGGCTGCGCTCGCCGGCGCTCCTCGCCGCCGTGGAGACAATGGAGGGCGGCAGAGCGCACGCGCGGCCCGCGCCCCCCTTCCCCCGCCGGGTTAACCCTTTCGCGGCCCCTGCGGCGCGGCGGAGCGCTGCGGCCCTGGAGGTCCCCACCCACCCGCCGCCTGCGCCCCTGGCGGTCCGGGGACCAGCGAGCTCCAGCCGCGGGGCGTCTGCGACAGAGGCCGGACTTCTTCCGGAACAAGCACGGCTAGAGTCCCTGCGAAAGTCGAATCACTAGAGTCAAGAAGAGCCCTTGCGTGGGGGAGGGGCGGTGACGGATCTAGTGGGTGGGAAGGAAACTAGAAAGCAAACCAACTAAAAGGTCTACCTGGGTTTGAGGGTCATTGGGCGAGCTCCCCTCCCGCCACGAACCTGCCCTCACAGCACCCTCTGGTGGATGTGCTGTCCGTTCGTTCGGTGGTTCCCGTCCAAGGACCCCAACCAACGTCAGGAAGTTTAACATTTTGGGGGGAGTTAGCTTGGACCCGAACATCAGGAGTCTTAACATTTGGGGTTAGGTGTTAGGAGATACAACAGGGTCCTGGAGGCACATAGGAATCAGGACTTTACTGACAGATCAGAGCCAACTATTTGGGTCTAAGGAAACCAGTCGATTCTTTAGGTTAGAATGTAATCCTGAAAAATCAATAGGCGGATAAAAAGCATGGAAATAGAACAACGCAGCTCAAAAGTGTAGTTTTAGAAACTCCTTGTCCAAGGCTGACTCCTGTTTTGTTTACCATGTATTTTGATATAGAGCCACAAGGCATGGACACTGTGAGGACTCAATAAATATTTGTTGACCGGAGCCCGGCGTTGGTGGCGCACGCCTTTAATCCCAGCACTCGGGAGGCAGAGGCAGGAGGATCACTGTGAGTTCGAGACCAGCCTGGTCTACCGAGCGAGTTCCAGGACAGCCTCCAAAGCCACAGAGAAACCCTGTCTCGAAAAACCAAAAAAAAAAAAAAAAAAGAAATATTGGGACTGTGGTGCATGCCTTTAATCCCAGCACTCAGGAGGCAGAGGTAGGGGGATCCTTGTGAGTTCAAGACCACGCTGATCTACAAAGCAAGTTCCAGGACAGGTTCCAAAGCTTCTCAGAGAAATCCTGTTTCGGAAAAACCAAATTTTGTGTGTGTGTGTGTGTGTGTGTGTGTGTGTGTGTGTGTGTGTGTGTGTGTGTGTGTGTGTGTGTATCGGGGCTGGAGAGAGGACTCCGGAGTTAAGAGCACTTGTTGCTCTTGCAGACACCCCAGGTTCATTCTCTGCACCTATGTGATGATTCACAACAATCTGTAACTCCAGATCCAGGATACCCAACGAGTGTGCAGTCTAGGCATTCATACAAAAAGATAAGTAAATCTAAGCTTTTATTTAAAAATATAAAACAAACACATGGATATTATCTGTTCTAAGTCAGGAATGTGTACACTTTTGAAACTGAAATGAGTGACCTGAAGAAATAGAAACTTACAGAGGCTGGAGGGATGACTCAATAGAAAGTATACTGCTCTTGCAGAGCACATGAGTTTGGTTTGTAACTAATTCGAAAGAATCTGATGACCTCTTTTGGTTTCTGCTGGCACCCACACATAAGTAGCACACCTCATTTAAACACACATAAAAATAATAAAAACAAGCCGGGCATTGGTGGCCCACGCCTTTAATCCCAGCATTCGGGAGGCAGAGGCAGGCAGATCACTGTGAGTTCGAGACCAGCCTGGTCTACCGAGTGAGTTCCAGGACAGGCTCCAAAACAATACAGAGAAACCCTGTCTTGAAAAACAAAACCAAAAATAATAATAATAATAAAAACAAATTATAAATAAGGGAATATTCATCTTCTTCTTAGAAGAAAGACTAAGGTATCAGAAAAGGGGTGATTCATTACTATACAGAAAAAAAACTAGATTGACACATCTATTTTTTAAGTTAAATACATTATAACTATCTTTAAAAAGTAACTTTTGGCCAGGCGTTGGTGGCGCACGCCTTTAATCCCAGCACTCGGGAGGCAGAGGCAGGCGGATCTCTGTGAGTTCGAGGCCAGCCTGGTCTACAAAGTGAATTCCAGGACACCCTCCAAAGCCACAGAGACCCTGTCTCGAAAAACCAAAAAAAAAAATTTGATCTTATTCATCTACTGTGTGTGTGTTCGTGTGTGTACATATATAGTTATCCCCCTAACTCAGAGTGAAGCTAGGGCTTCATGTATGCTGGATATGTACTCTGTCAGTAAGCTATACCCAATCCCTTAATAAAATAATATCTGAAAAGTTCCAGGCACTCTCCTAGATTCTAGGGTATAGTATAGGATCAACAAGACAGATTGAGTTCCCCTTCTCATAAGCTTCAGAACAACCATTTTGCACTCACTTGAATGACTATAATCAGAGAAAGATGATAACAGCTACTGAGAAGGGGAGAGAGCAGACCCTCATAACCTTCCTGCTGGAAACATTAGTTGATTGCTTTGGGAAATAGGCTGGGAGATCCTCAAAACAATTAGCACTGGAAGCTAGGCATGGTGGCGCACACCTTCAGTCCTAGTACTTGGGAGGCAGAGGCAAGTGGATCTCTGAGTTCAAGACCAGCCTGGTCTACAAAGCAAGTTCCAGGTCAGTCAGTGCTACACAGACAAACCCTGTCAAAAAACAAAACAAAACAAGCCGGGCGGTGGTGGCGCTCGCCTTTAATCCCAGCACTCGGGAGGCAGAGGCAGGCGGATCTCTGAGTTCCAGGCCAGGCTGGACCGATAGCCTCCAAAACAATACAGAGAAACCTTGTCTCGTAAAAACCAAACCAAACCAAAACAAACAAACAAACAAAAAGATTAGAGGTTGGTTTGGTGGACACACTCTTCAATCCTGCCCAAGGGAGACAGAGACAGGAGGCTGACTGTGAGCTTAAGTCCAGCCTGGTCTACATAGTTACAGGTCAGCCAAAGCTACACAATTAAGTCCCTGTCTCAAAAAGCAAAAATAGTTGGGTGTTGATGACACATGCCTTTAATCCCAGCACTCGGGAGGCAGAGGCAGGTGAATCTCTCTCAGTTCGAGACCAGCCTGGTCTACAAGAGATAGTTCCAGCCGGGTGGTGGTGGCGCACGCCTTTAATCCCAGCACTCTGGAGGTAGAGGCAAGTGGATCTCTGTGAGTTCGAGGCCGGGCTGGACCAACAGCCTCCAAAGCAATACAGAGAAACCCTGTCTCGTAAAACCAAAAAAAAAAAAAAAAAAAAAAAAAAAGAGAGAGAGATAGTTCCAGGACAGTCTCCAAAGCCACAAATAAACCCTGGTTCAAAAAAATAAAATAAAATAAAATAAAGCAAAAATAAAAAGATACAATATGACTTAGCCATTCCATTATTAGGTATACATCTTTATTTTTTTTCACTTTTGTTATTTTTTTGGTTTTCATGACAGGGATCGTCTGGGTAGATCTGGCTGTCCTGAAACCACTTCTGTAGACCAGGCTGGCCTCAAACTCAGAGATTCATCTGCCTCTGCTTCCTGAGTGCTGGGATCAAAGGTATGCACCACTGCACCTGGTTTTTAGGTATATTTCTAAGGGAATGAAGCAAACATCCACAAAGTGGTTTTGTGTGTGTGTTTGTGTGTGTGTGTGTGTGTGTGTGTGTGTGTGCCTGTTCTCGTGTGGAGGTACACAAGCATTTGGATACCAGAGGTGCCTTGAAGTCACTGATTGCTAGACTCCTTAGCCAGTAAGCTCAAGGCAGCCTCCTGTTCCTATCCTCACAGCACTGGGATTATAGATGGACACAGGTGTGCCTGGCTTTTTCGGTGGGTATCCTCCTAGATATGGTAAGTGCTTTACTGACAGAAGGATCTCTCTAGGCCTAGTTTTATTTTGTTTTGTATTTTGGAGACCAGGTATTACATTGCCCAGGATAGCACTTTATTCCTCGTGTAGACAAGAAAGACCCTGAATTTCTGATGTTCATTTCTCTACTTCCCAAGTACTAGGATTACAGGCTTGTACCACCACAACAGGCTGCAGCATTATTGGAAATAACCAAAACGTGGAAACAACTCAAAATATTCATCAACAGATTAAAGCAATAATGGTATCTATGCAATGAACTAATATTCTGTCATGAAAGGAATAAAGTGCTGACAGACACTACACATGAATGAACCTTGAAATTGCAATGGTAGATAGAAGTCATTCATTTAATAACTGCATTATTGTATGGTTGTATGATTCTACTTACATGAAATGTCCAGAGTAGACTAATTGGGGTCACCAGGGCATGAAAGGGAGGATGAAGAGTGACTATCAGTAGGTTTGCTTTTGAAGTGATGAAAATGTTCTGGATTTAGAGTTTCATAGCCTTGTTGACTATACAATAAAAACTGAATCACACATTTGTGAAGACCAGTTTCATGTTATATAAAGTTTACTATAATACTATATATCTGGACTGGGGATCTAGATCAGTGGTAGAGTGCCTGCCTTGTGTTTTAAGTTTTCTATTGCTGTGAAGAGTCACCATGACCATGGCAACTCTTTTATAAAAGAAAACATTTCATTGGGGCTGGCTTAAAGTTTCAGAGGTTTAGTCCACTATCATCATGGCAGAAAGCATAGCAGTGTGCAGGCAGACATGGAGCTGGAGAAGAT